CGATCAGCGTGTTGCCTTTGAACAGGCCCGCGCTTCGGTATTCCTTGGCAAAGGGCGTGGCACCCAGCGCCGCCCCTAGCAGCATGAACAGCAGGCAAAGCAGGCGACACACGCGGCACATTTCACATTCAGCGGCTTTTCTGTGCCACATTGCGAGAGACAATTACAGTGGACACTCGGCTAGACATAAATTGCTAGTTGAATTATATAGCGAGTGGCCTCAATTAACGGCACAAAGCGCACAAGCGCTGATAAAAAATAACACACAAACTTAAACCTTTTCACATCAAATTAGTTCAAGTCTCGTTCGGGACTTGACCGCAGCTAAAATTCAATTATCTGTCGGCTTTTTCGCCTTTTTCTTTTTTTTCTACTTTTTTTTTGCCAGTTATAAAAAAATTATGTCACCAATTAGCAAACGACTTGAGTTACGGTTGTTGCTGCTGTTTTTCTTTGCTTTTTGACACTGCAAAGATACAAAAGAAAAAAAGAGAGAGCGTGTGTTTAAATAAAGCTTTGAAAATGGATGTTTTAGAGACTAGTTTCTTTTTGAACACTTTGACAGGACTGTCAGGTAAGATCTAAGTAAGTGACCTAGTTGTTTATCTAGATAGTAAAAGCCAAAATTGCAGAAAAAATATTATTTTATACCAATTCTTTAAAAGGAAGTGTAAAACAACAATCCGAAAAAAATATAATTCTAGGAAAAACTAATTGGAAAATCGTATTCTAATTTCCAAAATTTCAATTTCCAAGTGAGCACTGTATTATATTCCATAAGTTGTTTGGAAATGGTAATTGAATCCTTCCAGCAATGGAAGTAGCACAGCTTCTACGCCTTTAGCACTTAATATGGTCGTTTAATATACTGAAATATGAATACTCTATAAAGGAATTCAAATAATTTTAAGTAATTAATTAAATACGTTAATAAGGACGCGTTGCACTTATATAAATTCAAAAATGTTCTTATATGTATGTGTCTATACATGTATCTATAGATACAGAGCCATCTTTACATATTTATTCATACATACATATATACCTACATACATATGTAAAACGAATGTTTTAATTTTAAAGGATTATTCAAATTCGCATAACAACAATTGAGCAGTGGATGTAAATGGGTTAACGGAAATTCTTGCACACATTTCCAACAGCTGCTGTCGACTTGTGCGTTGGCGCGACAGCAAATCAATTAAAAATGCAGCAATATATCAACTGGCGTGTGTGTGCATGTGTGTGCGTAGTTGCATGTGTGTATTTGCGTACGCGTTAATTTCCATTACAAATTCCCATAGGATGTTGGGCATGCGCGGAAATAAACGCACGAATTTCCACAATGAGAGGCGCGCAAATGCAGAGCCCACAATAAGCAATAAACGCATAAACGGTAAACAAATTGCCGCTACCTGTGAGACAATCCACAATCCACACAAAAACGCCTTAAAAGGGCGACAGACGCACTCACACTCATGCACGCTTGCATCGACATATGTAAAATGAACACTCAAACAAACTGTGAATGATGCGTACGCATATGAATACATTCGCTCACATATGCATGTGTATGTAAGCATGGGTAAAGCGCCGTTAGCGCCGCTCATAAATGTCACTGCAAAATGTTGTTGCTGCTGCTGCCGGCACATATGGTGCAATCGTTCTCTCTCCCTCTAGCACTACGACTATGAAACGCGTTTAATTTTTTTTTGGGGAAGATGCGACTGGAAACGAATTTGGGCGAAAGGAAAACTAAAGCCTGCAATATGAATGCGTGTGTGTTTCTGTGTGCTGAATTCCCATATGAAACGAGTTTTGTCCAAATATTTTTGCATTACAACAACGAAAATCCATTAACAATGCAAATATACACACATACACACCCACACGCACGCTCGCAAAGCTAAACAGCGTTTTTAATATCCGGCGGGAAGAACAACAATAAACGCTCGTTTTATTGTTTATATTTACTGCGTACCTTCTATGCAACAATTAATAATTGTTGATCAGTTTGTTGGACACAAACACACACACACACGGACATCGACAAATATTACGCGTAGTTTTTTCTTCAATTTGGCGAGATTTGCGTGAATTAATGGTAACGGTAAAATCGAAAACGACTCACGCGCAATTTCGCTTCACCGACCGCACGCTACGACAACGATCTTCACAATAACAAACCGAATGTTGCTCAACAAACGGGCCAATGCGTACAGAGCGCGCCTTAGCAACATGTATACTCAACCTATCTCAGCTGGCAATCGATTACAATGCTGGACTGCTATTTGTAAATATCGATAAGTGTGGTGAATTTTGAGCTCATTGTCGATAAGTAGCCGTTCACTTTTGAATGACTTGGTTCGCTTACCCCAAATTAAGTCATTTTTGAAGTAAAATAGAAATATAGATATATTATAAAAACGAAAATCAATTAAGAATACAGAATTAAAAATATATTGTTAAACGATTATTAAATAATTGGGATATCAACCAGCGTTCTCATCCAGTTGCCGACGATGTTGCATTTGCAGCTCAAAGCGACGATTCGAGCGAACTCCGCGCACAATTTCGCTTCTCTTCTCGTGTCCGCTGCGACCCTTGAACATTTCCATATGCCGCTTGCGACGCGCTTCCAATTTGTTCTGCATGGTATCATCCCTGTCGCCGGGCTTTACCTTCGCTATACTCTGAATGCTACCTGGTCCAGATACAGCTGGAATGAACAGCTTGGATGTCACCGAGGTGGACAAATTGAATGCCGGCCTCGGCACCGTCTTGTTGCTCGACAAAGCGGGCCGAGCCGGCACCAATGACTTGGGCTGTGTCACACCCACAATCTTGCGCGGCGTCGGCAGCAGCTTCACCCGCTCCACCTCCTCCGGCTTCAATGGGGTCAACGAATAGCTGGGCACTTCGATCTTTTTGACTGCACGCAAACGCACTGGCGTCTGCTTCATGGCTGATGTAGCAGTTCTCTCCGATTGTTGTTGTTGTTGCAACTTAACTGCAGAGCTTGTTAAGACCTTGGCACGCACAGCCTTGCGCTCCATGTGCTCCACCAGATTCTCCATCTTCTCGAATTGCTTTTGGTGAATTGCCGCGAAATTTGGCAGTTTGGTACGTGCCTTTAATTTACTGGGCGTGACTGTGGACTTTATGGGAGGATATTGCTCTGAAAGGAGATGAAGATATATTAGATACATGTATACGAATTGGATATATAAACTGCTGCACTTACTCATCTTGGGGATGCGACTTGGCATGGGATTTGGTTCCAAGGACTTGGAACGTTTGCGACGTTTCGTGACATCTAGGAAAATAATATGGAATAGATAGTAATATAGATGAGATCATGATTAGGTATTGATATATTTATAGCTCTTACTGCTGTTGTTCAGATTCTCCCAGCGTTTATCAATATCATTGACATTGGCCATTTCCACGGGACTGTAGAAGGTGACTCCCTTGGCCTTCGTCTCATTGGATCGTGGTACTGATTTCGAGCGTCTTTGTCGTGGATTTTCCGAAAAGATTCCAGATGAACTGGCTTCGCAATCTGCGAATTCCGTCTGGATTTTGCGTTTGAAAGGTGTAGGAAAGCGATAGGCCTTCGGCTTCGTTGAGTCACTCTCAATGTCTGCAGCCTCCGGTTGCTTAAGATCCACATCAATTTGCTGTTCTTCCATAATGCACAAGGCGGGCATCACTTCATCCGCATGCGCTTTGTCATCGGCATCGAAGGTGACGTTCAATTCGTTCTCTGTGTCGCCATCATCTATCATAATGAGGGATGGCATCTCATCGTCTTCTTCGGGTTGATGCTCAGCTTCGAGCGGGCACAGGCCCAGCTCATCCATATCATTCTCTTTAAATACAGCTATTTTCTGATCTTGCTCTTGAACAGATTTAACATCATTATCTATTATATCTGGGCACAGCTCCACTTTAATCTCCACTGGAGTTGGCTCAAAAGGTTTCTTATCTCTTATTTCCTCGTTGCATTTCTCTTTTTTATTTTCATCATAAGCATTGGGCGATGTTGAGACTGTGATTGCTTCTGTTACCTCTAGCTGCTTGGAATCTTCTTCTTCTAGTTCTTTCTTTTCTGTTTTCACTTCATTCTGTTCCTCCTGCTCCTTCATCTCGTCATCCTCCTTATTTTCCACCTGCTCCTTCATATCCTCGTCTTCTTGTTTCTGCTCTTTTTCGTCGTCGTTTCGCTTTTGCTGTTCTTTTTCAACTTTTGACGATTTGGTCTTTTTGGATTTGCGACTGCGCTTGCCCGAAGTGCGACCCACCTCGGCAACGCTCCATTTCTGTGTTTTCTCCTCATCTAGATTCTCCTTGTCGACAATGGTAGTGTCCTTTTTCTCCTTGCTGGCAGAAGACAACAGATTCTTTTCAATGATGTCTGTATAGTCCAGAGTCGGGCGCACGCTCTTGCGGGCACTGCGACGCGGTGTTTCGCAGGCTTTGCGAATGGATGCACTGGGTGTCTTCGGCAAGGACATGAGCTCATCATCGTCGGGTACAGTCTCTCTATTTAAAATACTCTCATTCTGCTTTTGAAGAACGGCGCGTCGCGTCTTTTTGGCCACAGGCGTCTGTGGGCCTGACTCCTGGTGCAACAGGACGCCATCAATTTGAGCTGCTTTATGTGAATAATTTTGTTATATTTTTCCTTCTGAGAGAATAACGCATCTCAATAAGTATTTACCTGCAGTTGTTTCCATTATTTTATCCCAAAAAACTCTTTTACACTATGTGCGCGTCTCTTTTTTTCGTTGCTTTCAAAATTGTTGTATGCAAAGCCAATGTTAGTTAACACGCATCATGCGCGCGATATGTGGCAAAAGTATCGATACCTTGTGATGAGCAACGATAATGTTAGGTACGCATGCGTCTATCGATATAAAATTTCAAAAAGGCGTTGAATTTTAAAAATGTTATTTATTAAAAATATCTTTGAAAAAATACTACTAAACTGCGTAATTATTTTAAATAATGACAGCTTTATGATGGCAACAACGACTAGCAAGTCAAGTTAAAATGAAAAACAATGGTATGAACATTAAATATGTTATAGCTTAGCACTCGTCGGTCTGTATTATAGGGGTGCTCTGACTGCTGAGGGCCAGTTGATAGGCAACCTCAAAGGCCTGGCCAAGAGTCAGAATTATTTCGTTAGCCAGTTCCTGTCATGAAATACAATTAATTTCACAAATGTATTGATATAAATTATTGTTGAAGGCAACCTACCAAATTGTCAACCATAAAGACATGACAATAATGAAGCTCCTGCTCTTTGGTTATATAGGCAAAGTAACGCATATCCTCCGCATCCTGGCATACGCAATTGATGTTCTCTATGTCGTGCGAGCAAATGGCAGTCTAAAATAGATTTAAAATAAAGTAACCTAGCTGGCAGATCGTTCCGGTAGCTTACCTTTAACTCGTGATCTATGAACTTGACGCCCATGCAGGAGACAGAGATATCCACCTGGAGGCGTGTCTGCAGATTGGCTGCCTTGAGATACTTGGTGGATGTATTGCAATTCTCCAGCAAACTGATGTCGCTAACACTTGAAGCTGCCTTCAGCTTCTCATCGATCTTCAGCTTCTGGATGGACTTGCGCGTCGAAATGGTGCCCTGCAACTGCCTGATGACTGTTGAGCCCAGATACTGCAAGCATTCAATTCAATTAGCAGTTGAATATAAATGAAGATATAAATTATATATACATAAACAGAGTAATGTATTTCGCCATAGACCAGCGTATAGGGTGAATGGCACCAATGCGAAGCTGGACTTGGCGATTTGACCAGCAGCAAATCCTCCGGATTGCGTATGTGCAGCGATTGGCGAGCGTCTTCCATAGAGCCAGGTTGCAGCTGTTCACTGTGCATCTCCTCATCCTGTTGCTGCTCCATTTCCTGCTCTTGTTCCCGGTCCTCATCCACCTCCTGCTCCATTTTCTGTCCCGGCTCTGGTTCCACAATGCACACCTCATTGCCTATATTCTCGAAGATCGTATCAATCTCGGCCCACACACGCGAAGCACTAAAATCCTCGCCAGTTGTGGAGAATCGCTGCTTAGACAGACTACGCCGTGGATTCAATGCATTCACGTTTCTCACCATGCTGGGCGAACGCAGGCCACGCCCATCCACCACATCTAGCGCCAAATTCAAAGTTGAGCCCTTAAAGAGGCCAGCAAATGGCTCATCGCCCACGAATTCCTCCACCTGATCGGAGCTGCAGGAGATCTGAGAGTCATCTAGACGTGGCGGCTGCATAAAACTAAAGATCGTGGTCTCAGCCTCAACCACAGTGGGTGGCGGATAGTCGGGTGTGGGTGAGTGGCGAGCTATATGCTTGATGCTATTGTTGATGTTATTATTGTTGTTGTTGTTGTCTACAGCCTGCCTGGGCAATATGTTCTCATAGTCAAGATTTAGGCGCGTGCGCGGCATGGGCACCGGAGCTTGCAACGGAGCTTGCATTGGAGTTTGCACTGGAGTTTGCACCTTCATCTCCACATAGTCAGATCGAGGTTGTGCTTGAGGCGCACCAGCTAATAAGCAAAAACAAGTAGTTAAGTTAAGGATTGGGATTAGGGCATGTCAAAGAACTTACAGCCGCTGCTGTGGTTGCTCCGCTCCTCGCTGCTGGAGCTGGGCTTGAGCAGATTGATGTACTCATAGGAGCGCGAGGGTATCGAACCGTTGGAAAAGGTCTGCGCTGAGCCAAGTAGAGCGCTCTGATACGGCAGCTTGTAGACTGGCTTATAGCTGGACCACAGCTCCTCGCGGGGCTCTAAAGTGTGCATATCGCTCACCGACTTCTGTGGCCTAATGGGCTTCATGTCCAAGTAATTGGGCGGCCTTTTGATGTAATTATCCAACGAGCTTAAAGAGTGCGAAAGTCCATTTGGTGGAGGAACTTGCTTGCTACAGTCAAGTAGTTACAGTTTGTTTTTTGAGAGGGTGGTAGTAGTGTTATGTGGGAGAGAGAGAGAAAGAGATAAAGAGAGAGAAGACCAGACCCGTTATATGAAGGCGCTGTGATAATTAAAAGAACTACCAACCAATTGAGTACGCTGTGTGTGAGTGTGTGCGTGCGTGCGTGAGTGTGCGTGCAAGTGACATAGGATGATGAGCATGAATTCTATTCTGGAGCCGATCGGAGTTCACATACAAATTAATGCCTGCATTTCGTTAATTGATCTCACAAATTATAACATGTGTATTTAATGTGGGCGCATATGAGAGAGAAGTTACTTGGGTGCATGTGGGCGTGTCACATGTATTTCAGTGGTTCAGTGGTTAGTGCGTGCGTTGGCTTACTTCCTCTGCTTGGATGGATCGCTGAGCTTTGCCTGCTTCGGCCGCTGTACATTCTTCTCGTAGAGGCGCTTCGGCAATGACGACGACGAATCGATATGGTTGACCAGCTGCGTTTGATTTCTGCGCAACATCTGTGACTCAGTCAACTCCGTATATTCTGAAAGTAAACAATCCGTGTGGGTGTTAGAATGTCAACACAAAGAGAGCCCAGTCATGGGCCCCACTCTAAATCATGGTATACTTATAGGAATTATTGGTTTTAAAACTATATACATATACTCTTTCTCTCTCTATATACTTGTACATATATATGTATATTCTATCGAAGAGTTTTATTTTAATACAATATTTTACTGCAGATTGAAAGTATATATATAGAGAGAGTTACACATTCCGTAATACCTATTCTAAATCATCTTTATAAATATATATTACTATTCATATAATATATATGCATATATCTACTCTATCGGGGTGTTTTATTTGTAATCATATATTGCACCTCATCAAGAATATATATAGAAATATATTGGGGTTATAATCAGTATGTTACATATTGCGTAGCTTAATTGAATCACAGGATAAATTTAATCATATTTATTTCAGTCAAGTTGCGAACCTTTGATGATGGCCGCAATCTCGTAGGTCACATGAGGTGGATAGTCGGAGAGTAACTCGAGGGCAGTGCGTCCGTTGCCGTCGGTGGCATGGACATCGATGCCAGCTCTGAGTAGGGTTACCACCACCGACTTCTTGCCACACAGCGCTGCCTCGTGCAACGCGCTGCCCGCATTGGTTAGAATGTTGACATCAACGCCAGCTGCTAGCAGCGTTTCGACCACTTTCTTGTGGCCATTGCGGCTGGCCAGGTGGAGGCAAGTGTGCGTGAAGATGTGCTTGGTGGGCGTGGGCGAGTATTGGTGCGAGTAGCCAAGCATTTCGGCAACCTCATCCTCGTCATGACGGCGATAAGGTGCAATCAGATCGGGCTCGACGCGCAGCAGTGTTTGCACCGCCTGCAGCCGGCCAAACTGTGCAGCCAAGTCCAGAGCCGTCTGAAAGCTATTGTTGCGTATGGTGGGATCGGCGCCATAGGATAGCAATATGGCCACGACATTGGTGTGCCCGTGCTGGGCACTCGAATGCAGCGGCGTCTCGTTATCAATTGTCTGGGCATTCGGATTGGCCGGCTTGCAGCTATGAAATAGGAGCATCTTCACAATATCCTGATAGCCCGCCCAGGAGGCCAAGAAGAGCGGTGTTGTGCCACGTATATCGGGCACGTCCACCTCTGCATTGTGGGCGAGCAGCAGGCGAACGACGGCGCTATGCCCATTGAGACAGGCGTGATGCAATGAAGTATATCCATTGACATCTTGGCAGTTGATATTGAGACTTCGACGAAAGCTAAATAAAGAGAGAGATAGTGAGAGAGAGAGAGAAGTTATAAATAGTATATGGTAACTCTAATACTGATACAACAACTGTGCTCACCTGGACAGGGGACCGTGTCGCTTGGACATCAGCTCCAATAATTTGCCAACGGTTTTTATATCCCCACTGCGGGCTGCTTCAAGTAAATGCTGATCCTTACCCATTGGAGCTATTTAATTTATTTAAAAGAATATCAAATTTGTGATTAAACTAAAGCACAATGAGATCATAGCTCCACCCCACCCCCACCCACACCCTTTCAGAGTAAACAGGTCTCTCTTTCCCACCCGTTGTCTCATCAGGTGGCAGTCAGCTGTTTCAGCCCACTGTTAACTCAGCAGCACGTTCCAATTATTCACACATTCCAATGGGCACACACACGCATAAACAAACACACCAGTGCATATGATATGTTTGTTTTTATAAACGTGTTGTATTTAGGGCCTACTCTTCCAAGGTCATCGTACGGCATTGCCACCCAAATTTTCACCAAAAATAGTTCAACTTCTCATTCTTATGCACCTACCGACTAGTTCTTCACTTCCTAAATAAAACACTTAATGAGCTATAAATGCGGATAGCTTGACACAAATTCGAACAAACATTATTATGTGTGCTGCTGCTGGTCGTTGAACGATTAATTAATTAWAGTGCTTGTACGTGGAAATAAGAACCACTGCAACAAGTCCAACACTCTACACTATCAACAAATAGAAACGAACTGGCAGTAGAACGATCGCTCAACTTGTGCTGTTAAATTTCTTCAGCAATTCGTTCCGTTGCCTCACTTTTGCGTTCTGTTGCCTCCCTACTGCGTTCTGTTATCTCACTTTACCGGCATGTGTGTGTAATCGATACTTATCGAATCGTCGTTTGCTGTCAGTCAGAGACATCGATGTTTTTGCTTTAGACGCTCAATGTACATGTTTCATTTGGTTAATCATATTAAAATTGAATTCTACAAATACCCAAATACACAATATGGAAGAAACTAGTTCTATGAAGCCCAAGCGCAAAGACACAACTGAAGGTGAGTGGAAGCATACGTAACCAGCATTTAAGTAGCAAAGAACTGCGTATAAATGATAAATGTGCCGGCACAACGAGTTCAATAGAGACCGCTCGTCCGTGTGTGTGCGTGTGTATAGGTGTGTGCGCTGGCCATACATTAAAATTTAAGGTATGCCTTTCTGTTTAAATGCTTAATGCAATGTCATTCATTGTGTTGCCCTTGCAGATAAAACGGGCGAGGAAACGGCCGTGCCAAACAGCGACGGTCCACAAAAGAAATTGGCGAGGCTCAATGAATCGCTGGAATCGGCGTCTGGAGCGGGCGACGCAGACGTGCAGCTGGCACTTAACAAAGCTTATCAGCAAAAGGATGTGACGCAATGGCTGCAGTCAGCGTGGACCAAGCAAGCGGCAAGCACAACAGAGGAGACGACTGGTGCACAAATCTATGGCGAACCATTCCAAATAAGCTTGCTGCCAAATTTCCTAGAGGCAGATAATACGCGTGCTTTGGTCGACGAAATGATCAACAAGGTGCATTGGTCGCGCAAGCAAATGGATTTGTACGAGTTCTATCAGAGCACCGATTTATCCAATATGCTCGAGTGCCGGCTGCTCACCAACTTTCTGCAGATGCTGCGAAAGCAAGTGCGACCATGGCTTGAGGACATCACAAATCTGAAGCTAGACTATGTGTCCGCCTCGTGCAGCATGTACAGCTGCGGCGACTACTTGCTGGTGCACGATGATCTGCTGAAGGATAGGCAAATCGCCTTCATCTACTATCTGTCGCCTTGGCAGGGCGTTGAGGAGTGGAGCTCGGAGCAAGGCGGCTGCTTGGAAATCTTCTCCAGTGATGAGCAGTGCTATCCACAGTTTCCAGTGCAACGGAAAATTGCGCCCAAAAATAATCAGTTCGCATTCTTTAAAGTTGGCTCACGTTCCTTCCACCAAGTGGGAGAGGTAACGACCTTTGACTATCCCCGTTTGACGATCAATGGCTGGTTTCATGGCGCCACCAACGAGGCCTTCATGGCCGACTCCTCGCGCGCCTTCCCTCGCCTCAGCTACCTGCAGCCGAATGTGAATAATAATCCCAGACTGGGATTGCTTCTAAACGATGTCTACCTAAAGGCAGCCACGCGTCGCAGCATACAGAAGCGGATTGAGGAGAATTCGGAGATATGTCTGTATGAGTTCTTCAAACGCGAAAAGTTCGAATTGGCTCGCGCTCAACTGCTGAACGATGAATCGCTGAGCTGGCGACGACAAGGACCCGCCAATGCGCACAACTATGAAGTGATGGATCTGGACACCGCCAAGGGCACTGTTCAGGAGCTGCTGCAACTGTTCCGTAGCAATGCCATGTTTCAGCTGCTGCGCGACTTTACCGATCTGGATCTGTATGGCGTGGATGCCATTACGCCCACTTGCAGCGTGGAGCTGCAGCGCTGGTCGCACGGCAACTACACGGTGCTGGGCGACGGTCTAGTCAGCGAGGAGAATACCCTGGATTTGGTTTACTATCTGAACGCAGCGGAGGGTGCGGCGGTTATCACATATCTCTCACCTGATGTGGAGCAGCGCACGGCCCACAGGAACGGTTTGGATACCGACCAAAGCATTGATAATACTGACGATACAGAGGACGACGAAGAGTGCCAAGATGACTCCGTCCTCCTCACAATAACTCCCGTGGACAATGCCCTGAACATTGTCTATCGCTGCGAGGGCACCACCAAATTCACCAAATACGTTTCGCGTAACACGCCGCTGGACAAGGGCCCGGTTTTTGTAATATCCTGCAGCTATAAGGAATAATTGCGATGATTTGTCCACACTATGCCGCCGCACGTACAAGCCATAAATTGTTTTTCAAACTGGCGCAATGCACAAATATTAATATTCTGTTTTCTAAAGCTCAGCGAGAAAATGTTGTTTGTATACAAGCGGGAATGCCACTAAATGAAATGCCCAATAAAGTGATGTATAAAGAAACGCAAGCAATCAAGAATTTTATATATGCAAATCGCGAATTATTTTTAAAAGTTTAGCAAATGAATTCCTCAACCTAATTGTTTTATCAATCAGTTTTCAGCTTTAGCAAAAATTCTTTACCCTAATTGTTTTATCATTCAGATTTGGTTTTTTATTTGTTTTAATTGCAGATAAGTACCGCATTGCTGCAACGATTGCGTTCATTGTGGTCATCGTTGGAATTGGCGTGCCCATGTGGTGGAAGACAACCACGGTCTACAGGTGAGTCAGCTGCAGTGGAAACTCACTATGATGGATGTTTGTGATTACATGGAAGCAGAGTGGAGCTTCAAGTGGAGTCATTCGTTACAGTAACTTATATATCATCTTCTATGGCGATAGCTCACTTATCTCTTAGCACACTCTATACTAATTCCTCTTTAATACAGTTTTCACTGCATTCACAATCTACAAATTTGAATTCTCTTTCCCAGAGTCTCCTTGCCTTCGTCTGCCATTCTGCGCCTCAGCGAGCATCCCATCAAAACAGTTGTACATGTGTCCATCTATACGCAGCAGCCAGATCGCGCCCAGCTGCTCATTACGGAGCTGCAAAACGCATTTAAAGACAGCAGTATGTCAAAAAAAAAAAAAAACACATCATTTATCATAAGCATGACATGAAACCATTACTAATGACTATGTCCATTTAGATGTTTGGATTATGGAGTTCAAGCAGCTGTCGCCATTCGCCAAGGCAGCCGAGGCCCATACGCCGGCCGCTTTGGAGAAGTTGCTGCTGCAGGAGCATCCGCAAAGCGTGGGAGATTTCATGTTCATTGAGTGGCCCAAGCTGGAGGATGAGTTGCTGCTAACCACTGAGCGCTCGGCGCTGATGCGCACCGATGTCAGTAAGTAGCGATGGCAATGGTTAGAAATTTCCACTTGAAGCATTGCAAATCTTTCACCTTTCAGCTTCCAATAAGATGGCGCAGCTGCTGCATTCAAAAATTCTGCAAACCTATCGCGTCAATCAGATACTCAGCACAGATGAGCGCATGGGCATCAAGTCGGAGGCTCCCCAGCCTGACTACGATGTGGTTATATCCGTCCTAAATCCTAAGCCTAAAATCACCAATGCTAAGTGGAATGTCGTGATGGCTGCGCAGAGTAAGTTCGTTTTAGATTTTCAAGCTCGCTCTAATCACTTGCAATTGCAGCTTATATAGAGCCCTTCCTGGCGCAAATCTCTGACATATCCAGCTACACAGTGCGCACTCAGTGGAAATATCGTGTGGCCCTTGAAGCCGATCTGAAGCAGGTGCGCGATCAAACCAAATTGGGTCGCCACTATGCTCTGCAGGAGTCAGCCCTGCCGCATCTGCTCACATCCATAGCACAAAATTTGAGCGCGAGCATCACGGACAAGCCCGTCATCAACTTGGTGGTGTATATACCGCCCTGCAGCTCTGCACCGCTCCACATATACAATAACAAAAATCAGATATTAACGCGTGATGGCGTCGATGCATTCATTTCCCCACCCTGGGGCGGCTTCATAATAGCCAATCCGCCCGAGAGAGTCTGCATGGCCTATATGAACGATGAGCCAGCCATGCAATATTATGTGAATACTAATGATAATATGCAGGTGATGCTGGATCAGCTGCAGAAGCTATTGGACATCAGCAGTGAGGTGCAAGTGTCTGGCGTCAAGACAGTGGACATTGAGCAGCTGGCGCCCAGGCGCTGGGAATACGAATCCTATATACGACGCAGCGCTATTCGCCACATTGCCACGGCCAGCAACACGCTGCAGAGTCTGATCAAGCTATTGGGTAAAGCAGAGCCGAGTTAGGACTAATTAGATTCATATTTAATGTGTGTCACGCTTCGTTTTGCAGATCAAATCAGCTACATTGTGATTGACGATCAAGTGGGCACCGCCATAACCAAGTCGCATAGTGACATTCTGGCTGCCAAGGCCGCATTGCTGGAGCATCGTTTGCTGAATGCCTCGGCGTTGGCCAAGCGCGCCTTTGTGGCCTCGGAGCGCGGCTTCTTTGACGCCAGCTTGTTGGCACAGCTCTACTTTCCTGACGAGCAAAAGTATGCCATATACATTCCACTGTTTCTGCCGGTCATGGTGCCTGTGCTTAGCTCTTTCAATATGCTGCGCAAATTGCTGCAGCGCAAGCGGAAGGAAAAGCAGCCGTAAACGAGCCATATCGAGCGCGCGCTTAGTCAACCAAATTATGTATCATTTAAATTAAAACAATTAAGAAGATTCTTTAGAGATTTGAAAGTTTACTAATAGTTGAGCCCGTCCGTTGCGCCCCTCCCAATAGCGAGATCATCTTTCCGAGCATACACTGTAGACGCTTACGCAGATGAGATATGCGCACAAAATACGTAGCTTCATGTTGGTGCGTATATATCAAGATTTCGATCCAAAAGTATTATATGTACATGTAAATAATTTTGATTACTAAATCAAGGCGAGCAAATGGCACTTCGTAGCGCCTCAATTTTCCCTGATGACTTTTATTGCTGGTAGGTGCGATATCAGCGCAAAAATAAAATTTGTGTGTGTGTGTTTTTTTTTTTTATGTCAGGGCTGAGAGATGCCACGCACCCACATCCATGCCCACAGCCCCTCCGGGCCAATCAAGCGGACGCAGCGTGTGAACATGGCGCATAGGTCAGAAGCGGGATGCCGCCTCATGATGAGTGTCAAAA